GGTCACTTTACAGACAGTACTCGGCCTAAGAGGCTTTCATGGGAACTGAGAGAGAGAGACAAGAAATGCAAGTAGAGGAAAGTGATCGAGATGGTTTATGGAGACAAGGGTGAAGATGATTTCTCACCCATATCAAAGAAAATCGGTCTTAGCAACCACAGCAATACGACAGAACAGTTACCACAACTTGACAAAAAGTTTCCTATAAATAAATAAATACATCTGTAGCTTCGCGATCCATGTCAATATCATGAAGGGTCCAAAAGACACCCAAACTGGACACTGCCAAATCTTGAAACGTGAAGCATCCCATGAGAAGCAATCACCAAACACACAGCCAGACGTCCTAGGACCAGTCGTCCTCATCCCCCCCTTACACCTTGCTGTCCTCAAGAGTCTGCTGCGTCCAAGGTGCTGCTCCCAGTCTGGGTTACAGCCTGGTCCCTGCTTCTGCTGGGCCAGATTCTATTCCCAGATCCATTCCCTTGTTCTTACTGGTGCCTTCAAGATCACTCTTTTTCTTGCATGTTTCTCTCCAGGCCCTTTCTTCGCATCAACAGAAGCCCCTTTAAGCTTCTTCTGGGCCTCTTTCCCCATTGGAGAGCCTCCCACTTCCCTTCCGCTCCTCTCCCAACCCACCTGCCTTTCCAGAGACTCAGAGAATGAGAGAGAGATGCCTCCTCAAAGATGAGGAGAGAGAAGGAATGAGGACAGACTGCATGTATTCTTATTTGAGTATTTTTGGGAGTGTGTATATGTGTGGACCCATAAATCATTTAACTAGGATTCCTTCTGGCCTTTACCTTTCTTCCTAGTGCCCACAGGTGTTCTCAGATAGTTAAAATCAGGGGGCATGTACGTTTATATGCTATGATTGTTAATCCATATCTTTCTGTTGTCTTCAAAATTACCATTGTTCCCAGTTATCCTCCACCAAACATGAAATTATAATTAGTATATTTATACATATGGCCCCTTTTCATAACTAGGGATATTTTCATACCCTTGGCATTCAAACTGAGTGCCTGTTTCTTCCCATTTTGAAATTGATTGGCATTTAATAAGATTATACATAGCATGCTGCTTGGGTTTTTATATTCTAAGAAAGATTTTTTTAAATTGAAGTATAGTCAGTTTACAATGTTGTGTTACTTTCTGGTGTACAGTATGGTGATTCAGATATATATATATATATATATATATATATATATATTCCTTTTCCTATTCTTTTCCATTATAGGCTGTTACAGGATACTGAACATAGTTCCCTGTGCTGTACACTAGGACCTTGTTGTTTACCTCAAGTTGCTGTTTTGGATCCATTCCATATCTGTTGTTAGAGTCGCTGTATATATAGTTTTTCTGCTTTTTCTTGGGCAGTGTCTGTTTTAATTTCTTTTCAAACAACTACTACTTGGATTTATTCATTTCTTCCATAGGAACAAAACCCACTATTTATACACCCCCCCAAAAAAAAAACAAACTCACTTTTATATAAAGAGTGTCTTAGTCCATTCAGGCTGCTATAACAGTATACCGTAGACTGAGTGGCTTATAAATAACAAATTTATTTCTCACAGTCTGAAGGCTGGAAGTCAAAAATCAAGATGCCAGCAGATTTAGTGCCTGCTTCCTGGCTCATAGAGGGCCATCTTGTTTGCTGTGTCCTCTCACGGTGGAAGGAACAAAGACGCTCCCTGGGGCCTCTGATAAGGGCACTAGTCCCATTCATGAGGGCTCCACCTTCATGATCTAGGCCTCTCCTAAAGGCCGCTCCTCCTAATACCATCACATGAGAGATTAGGTTTCAGTATGAATTTGGGGGGGGGGCACAAATACTCAGTCTATAGCAAATAGTGTATAATTTAAAAAAAATAATGATATGGAAAAGACACACAAAAAAAATCATCCACAAAACTATCACCATGAGAATAGAGCCTCTGTCCGTGTCTTCAGGACGCCAGGGAGGAAAAGGTACCAATGACCGGACACTTCACGCAGGGGGATGCCTGACAGATCAGCTCTTAAGACCTGAATTTGAACACTTTGTTTACCCGGCAAGGAGCCTGCTACCAGCATTTGCCATCCACAGAACTGTGCTAAGACAGTCTATTTCTGGAGAATGGAGCAGAGATTAACTGCTCGCTCGTGATAAATCAAGGGTATTTGATTTGCCTGTTACATGCCCAGTTTTCTTTGGAAGCAAGCCCTGGAAGCTATTTTTCTGATCAAACCCTAACTCTCCTGTTAGTGCTTATGAAAGAGAAAAATAACATTTACTCATGATAAAGACTGAGTTCTAGCCATTATAAATCTTATCAATTGCCTTGTGAAGGTTAGGGGGGGAAAAAAGAAGAAAAAAAATTCCCATGTGCTCACTTAACCTTGGGTTTGGACTAATGCTGTCACTACCCTTGCAGAATGTTCTGGAATTTCAGGGATCGAAACAGATGAAAATATGAAAGGAGATGAAGTTGGAAACCTATGGAGATATGTGACTGATGACTGTTGTACTCTTAAGGAATGGCGAGTGACAATCCAATGAAGAAAACTGTTTTAGTTTACTAGTTAATATGAAATATTAGGAGGGCCTAATGTTTCCTTTTTTCTTTATTCCCTCAGAAGCCAGCAAGATCAACAGAAATAATCTTAGCAGACTATGCCAAGTTGGTATTTAGAGTCATTCACTCACACAGACACGAAACGCATAATGATCTTTTTTTTTTTTGCTTCAGTAGAGGTGCTCAGTGCCTAATATACCCTCCATATAATCTTTTGATTGATGGCTTGAAAAGAGATATAATCTTCTCCCCCAAATCATTCAGACAAATGCAAGATATATTATCTAAAATGTGAGCCAATGTCTAACCATTTTCCTTGGGTTAAAATGTACACTTTTACATAAGCAGTTTCAACAAACATCTCCTGAGTGTCGGTCACATATAAATGTTCACTCAAAGGTACCACGGAAGTAAGTAGTGAGACCGAATGTGAACCAGATGGCCTGCCGCCAACTCTGTCCACTCTTCTTAGCTCACATGTGTTTTGACACCATCCATTAGCCTCGGGGAGGAGTGTTTTGACAGAGGGAAGAAGAACCACAAAGACAGGGCTGCGTGCTCTCTGGGTGAGTGGTTTGTTCTCTTTATTTCTGAAGGCATTCAGATGCCTTTATCTATCATTATGACATAGAGCTTGAAATTTCCCTTAGTTAATTGGCTTTTGGAAGAAGAGTAAGGGAAGTTTCTTTCTCCTCTCCCTCCTTCTTATAACCTTTTTGTTTTTTTTTCAAGGACATCCAGTAACAGGCAAAAGAGTGAGCAGGTTGGTAGCATGCCCATCTATCTGGGGCATCAAAATAGCCTGAAATAAATTAGTAATGTGATGCTAGGTTATCAAGTGTTCACTCACGGTTCCCTAAAATGGTCTTGTTCAGATGTGGTAAAAGATCACCTCCAGCAGAAAATGTCAAACCCACCACAAACAAACAAAGAGCAAGCTTTCTTTTTGGAGTTAGCCTTCTGCTGTTGGATAATTTTGAGACGGCTGCACAAGTTGCAAGGAGCAGCTGCGCCCACACCACCGCCCTGAGCCCAGCCAGCTGACGCTGGCCTCGAGTCGGCCTCCACTGCCAGAGGAGATCTGGAAACCCCAAGGTGCCTGGGGTTGTGGTGGGTCTGACTGCCGAAATTACAGACCCTCTGTCAGGGCTATCAAGAAGGTGTCTGATCCATCACATTGCACAAAGTACATTCACAATTTTGAACAAGGAGAGGCAAGTTATTTTCTGCAGCGGCAGATCTGACCCCAGTAACCACTACATCAATATTAAACACAACTTTATGAGTAGTGATTTGAAGGGACTGCACATTATTCATTCTGGCCAGATCCTATTGGAGGAAATATATTTTCCCCTCATTTCCATTCACTCGGTTTTTCTTTGTTCGGACATGGGTGTGGAGGTGTATTATATATGCCCCCCGCCACACGCACACACACACACTTTCCCTCCCAGTCCTTACCAAAGTTTGCAAGACAGTTCTGGAAAAGATTTGCCAGGGAGATCAAAGTGTTTCCTGCACCCTCTCCTCCTGCTGTCTGCAATGTAAAACAAAGGACACCTGAATCAGTTTCTTCACAATTCCTATGAGCAAGGTTTTCTCTAGCAGCAAAGCCACAGAATGAACAGTTGCCTCTAGAATACTGTCAAGCAGGCAGCGTGACTGTTTCTTCCCGTAATGGGTCCCCACTCATTTGCTAATAAGGAAATTCAGCTGTTAACAAAAGAGTTGCCATTTCACTTTCTTTTTTTTCCCCCGCATCTATGGCCATTTGGGGTAAAATTGTATGTGAACATTAAAACTTAAACGTGATGCAACAAGAAAAATCTTTGTAATGCCTCCCAAATATTTGCCCCGTTTCTCCACAAAGTTAAGAAAACACAAAATCAGGAAACTTACTTGTTTTTGTATTATGTATACCTGGGAAGTTTTTTTCCTGCTGAGTAACAGAACAAAACTTGAGCTGCCTCGCTTTCTGCTTCCAGGAATGCCAATCAGAGAACATTCTTTTTCAGACAGCCAAGTTTGGAAGTCAGTTGGTTTCTGGCAGCAAGCAGGGGGAGGGGATGGTGGTGGGGAGAGCACAGCGAGTCCTCCTCCTTGGGCTGGTCTTCAGCTCCCAAGTGTTTCCGTAATAGCCATCAATGAAAGCATCTCCTTTTACCCAAGCGGAGACAGGTAAAGAGACAGCTGAATAAATCAGCATTAGCTGTAACAGCGGAAGCTCAGCCGGAGCATGGGGGTGGGGGGTGGAGGGCGGGCGTTTGACAGGCTGCCATTGGTGAGTTTACCAAAGGCGTCTGCCAGTGGGACTTGAGTGGAATGTGAAACCAAATCATTTTCAAGTTAAAGATAGACACTGTACACACCAGGATCCAGAAGCTGGATTTTAAACTCGCGCCTCTCCCCAGCATTTCAGAGTCCTGTTGCCATCTCTGTAATTAACCGTTTGGTTGAGGTTTCTTCTTTAAGTGAATGTGCTAAGAATTCATATACGTTCGGGATGTGCTGGAGTTAAAAGGATTTGAGAGATCATGGTGTGCGTACGCTAGGGTAAGTGAAAAGATTGGTGTCAGGCACGTTGCTCCTCTGGGAAGCTTCATGTTGAGTTTTTCTTTTTTATGGGTGCGAGTGAAAATGTGAGAGTGCAGATTTCCCAGCGTTGGAACTTGCTTTACCTTTCTTGAGATAGTTGGCATTTTACAGTTTGTGAAGTAGAAAGAAACAAAGTATTTCAGATAGTTGGAGCTTGACCGTGTAACTTCAGTTTTGCTTTATTTACCCTTACTTACTTTCTTCTCTATTAACTCTCTTAAACACCCGGCGTTTCTTGAATTACAATGTTGGTAGTTAAATGTCACAACACTGACTAAGTGTTCCTAAGTCCGGGATGCCATTGGATGTGACTGTTTTATCAGGAGATAAGAGTTATTTCCCTCGCTTGGCACTACGGCTGTTTTTAATTAAAAAAAATGAGAAAAGAAAATAATAAAAGAAGGGGGGAAAGAGGTGGTGTGAAGTGCATTAAGGAGCCTTTAGAAGATATCCTATTTTTTAGAAAAAAATAAATGAGAAAAATAGGCAATTTTCCATTGAAGAGAACAGTTTATTAATAGAAGTTATTTTTTGGTGTCGCCTCATTAATTCCAAGCAGGTTCTCCTCCTCCAAAAAAAGCTGATACTTGCTAAGCAAATAGAGGCGTTCTGATTATACAGAGCTTGAGGGTGCGGGACGGAAAGTTGTCTGATTTGCTCCTGCCTCGCTGGGTGTTAAGGATTTCAGAACTCTTTTTTTTCAAAGGAAGAATGACAAACTTTAATCCTCTTCATGTTTTGACCATGTATAGGTTTGGTTTCTTGTTTTGTCCAGTGACCTCTCGGCTCTCATAGAGACAGCTTTTCCAAACTTGCAGAGTGTTCCTTCTGAATAAATACTGTCCATAATAGTCACAGAGTCCATGGACTGAACTGCAAATTCTACTTTATATGGGATAAATAAACGTGCTGACGTTCTTATTACAGAGTGTGGGGCTGAACAGTTGTTGCATGTAACTGGCCAGGTTTCGTTCTGTCAAATAGACCGGAATCTAGTGAACTAAGCTGGCTGACCTGCGTACAAACAGTGAATGACTTACTATGAACCTTTCCTTCAACTTTGGTAAGGATAAATAAGGGACCGTATTACTCTGATACAGTGAAAAATGAGAGAGGCACTTGTTCTTACAATCATTTCGTTAGATCACAGTTAACCTTCCCTAATCCTCATAATTAACCCATTAGGTTGTAAGAGTCGCAGGTAAGTTTCACTTCTCCGCGAGCAGATGGTACCTTTGTACATTTTCCCTGGTGACATTGGACGTGTGTCCTCCCTGCCTTACCCAGCTCTGTCCTGGACTGTTGGCAAGAGGATTGAGCCTGGCAGGAATCGTAGGTGTCTCCCAAGAAATTTGTGAGGGCACGCACACGTGTGTGTGTGAGCACCATACACATAAGGACACACAAACGTGTAAACTTACCTTGTACTTAACTAATATATTTCTGATTGAATTATGCACATAAGTAAAATTATATTAGGCTTATCAGTGTGGGGTTTTGTTTTTGTTTCCAGTGTGTCAAAAGAAGACCCCTCCCTCAAAAAAACACTAAATTTAAAATTCTAAAGTGTAAGAATTTTGAACTTAAGTGGCCAAATAGTGTTGACAAGGGGGCCAATGAACATTTGTCTGCTCCTGTGACTCACTCACTGTTTCTAGTTCCCTGCTGACGTCACCAAGCTTGGATGTTATCTCTTCAAACGTAGCAAGTGAAGTCGTCTTATGATGTATGTCTGCTAATTCTCATCTCTCAAGAATTACTGAGATTTGTTCTTATAATTATTGTTCCTATCAGTTCTCACTCATGGTGTCTTGTTTGCTTGGTTGCTTGGCTACCTCTGACTCTCTGCTGGAAATGTATTTTTTTAAATTACTGGTAAGAATAAGTTGAGCGCTAGTGGTGATGATGGTTTCCTGCAAAGAGGGTCTGGGTTTGCTTCTGCCAGGCCCCTGGGGGCAATACCAGGCCAGAATCACCTTAGTCCAAGGGCAACACGGGTGCCAGAAGCTAGGCTGCAGGTCTGTGTGAGGAACAGCGGTTTACTGGGGGTTCACGCCTACCCCGAGGGAAGTGATGGCCTGCTGAGGTCCCAAGTGAAAGCTGGCTAGCGTGTTAAAGCTCTCATCTGACGGCCATGGGCCCTGTCGCTCCCACGAAGCTCGTAAGGCCACCTGGCGTCCAGCTGGTCTCCCAGACCTTTCGTTCCTGACACTCAGATGCCCGCGAGCAAAACCTTTCAAAGACGGGCGTCTCTCTCTGAGTTCTGGTCTTCTGCTGAATTTCCGTGTCTTCACCATCTTGTTGGCTCTTTGTTGTTTTTACATTTTAAATATTTCCTGTTACCTCGGTGGGAATGTTGGTCCGAATTATCTCGTTGCTGTGACCAGAAATAGAAACTCACTCGTCTGCTTTTATGCTCGTTGTGTTGGTACTGCTCATTCTAGAGAGGCTCTCGGGCAGTCTGCTGAGGTGGCTCATGATCTCGGTCCATTTGTCTGATTTGGGGTTACGGTTGTGGCCTGATCTGTTTCGGCTTTTTGGAGGACTTTGCAAATGCAGGTTTCTGATTGGAAGAGCCCCGCATTCCAGCCTGATCTGAGCTGTCAACAATACTTAGCCGCCCTTTTATTTGTCCCTCTTGGGCCCCTCAGTCTCTCTAATCCACCCCCACGGCCGTCACTCTCAGCTGTTGACCTTGACTCTTCTCGCTTTCCCTTGGCCCGTATCCAGTATCACCACATTTGAAAAGTCATCGTAAATAAGTTCCCCGCTTTCCATTCTCTTTG